ACTTAACTGTCTGTAGTTTTGTTGCCGAAACTTAACTGTCTGTAGTTGTGTTGCCGAAACTTAACTGTCTGTAGTTTTGTTGCCGAAACTTAACTGTTGGACTGTTTGTGGTTTTGTTGCCTAAACCTATGTGTACGTAGTTATTTTAAGGCCAACCATGATGTTTTCTTAACCTAACTAAGTGGTTTTGTTGTCTTAACTTAACTTTAGTCTTAAAGAGACTGTGTTGAAGAGTCTTGAGCAACTATTTCAATGTAAAATGTTATGACGAATGGCTACCATACGCACATAGCTGAATTACTTCTCAACCTCCACCTGCGCAGGTACCTGAGCCGTGTGTTTGGCATGCACCCGAAGGAGACTGCCAGGCAGCTGAGCTTGGCGGTGAAGGACGGCCTGGTGGTGGAGACCCTGACTGTTGGCTGCAAAGGCACCAAGGCCGGCATCGAGCAGGAAGGATACTGGCTGCCTGGGGAGGAGATGGTAAGTTTAGCAACATTTAATCCTTCATTCTAGGTTATGAGTTATTGGTCACCAAAAACAAGCAGATTCATCCTTTGTATGTCTGATATTTACGTGGTGGGAGTCTGTGTGTTGACATTGTGAGCAACATGTCCCATAGAGCTGAATGGTGGAAGCGAACTTGTTTGAGAACAACTAAATAAATTAGCTTTTACCGGCCTCTAACGGCCAACATGATGGGATTTTGTTTTATGTAGTTTTAGCACTGAAAATTAAATCCCTAACCAGAGAGAGTTTTTGGCAGCTTCTAAAGATTACAGTAATGCTAAGTAGATAAAAGTCTTGTAGAATGGCTAACAGGAAGTGGTATTAAGGTTTGAAAATGTGCAGCATTAAATATGCATCATCTTTGTTTTAACTTTGTCTCATTTCCCTTGTTCGTTGACAGTGTAGCGATGCTTTCACTTGTCTCTGCCTCAGTAGCGTAGCTCTACCCGAGGAGAACCCTCATGCCGTCTGCCATGTGTAATGCAAATAGCACTTAACGGATTACCGTGCAAGTGGCTTTAACGTGTAGCCGGTGGCCGCTTTCACAGTGATATTTAACACCCTGGCAGTACCTGTCAGGCTTTACCCATTAAACTACAAGAGCATCGTCAGAAGTATCATGCAGGGAAAAGAGAAGTAATGGATGGGATTTGAATTAGAATAATATAAGTATGTATACCGTTTAAATATAATTGCATTGCTCTGCAACAGCTTGGGTACATGTTTACTTCCTGTCAGCTGATGTCACTGACACGCACCGCAACAAGGAACCTATAAAACATTTTAAAAAAGGGTCATTACATCATATTTTGTATTATTTATACCGTTACCGTTCATTCTTTTATATATTCCTTGAACTTCAGAAGGACACACTGGAGAAATGTTTACGTTTTACAACTGTGAAAGAGTCTACAAGTCACTGTGAGGGAGAACTCAACAAAGTCCAGGACCTGTGCTGCGTTCAAGACAACTCGGCGGTCGTAATCTTCCCACTTGAAATATCCAGCTTCCTAATAAATACATACTTATATGTACATATATACTGTACATGTATGTATTATTTTGATTTAAATACAGGCAAAAATACTTAACGTTGCCTTTTAGTGTCCGAGTTGTCTTGTAACGCAGCATGATGTCCATCGTGGTCCCTGCTGTTATTTTGTGGTGTCACCAAAAAATATTTATATGATTTTAAAAAAACCCATCATGACACTGTTAACCAGCGGAGCTCAGGTGTTTGTTTGTTTTAGCAGCAGGACTTTTAAACACTGATCTCTCAATCATTTGCAATCACAGGATCCGAAAGTAGAAGGACACAAGGTAAGGGCTGCTTTGTTATTACCAAATTCAGGGTTTGTTACCTCATATCGATGCCTTCATGTTTCTGTCCCCTCCTGTCAACTGACATCATTCTGTGAGGAAGCCGCTCTGCACTGATGTGAGTGCAGGTTGCAGAAAGTCTGAACAACATACAGTTTAAAAGTTGTAGGCTATTTTAAAATGACATGAAAGTCCATCTACGTGGTTAAATCTCTTGTTTGAGTGATCAGTGATGAAATATGTGCTCGCTACTTCTCTACAGATGTGCTTGATTTAAATAAAACAAAAACACTCACTTGGCTCAAAGCTGCTTCCAGGTGTAAGTGTCAGATTTCTGAGGATCTGTGAGGCAACAAGCGAAGCAGTTTACCTCTAAAAGGAGCCGGATCCTGGGCTTGTTGTTGTGTTGGTCATTAGAAGCTGAACCCTGCTGCTCGGCCTCTCTCGGCCTCTCTCCAGCGTGTCCCAGCTTGACTCGGGCCAGTGCAGCGCTGTTAACCAGAGAAGTGGGGAGACCTGAATATCTGACTTTAAATACAGTCTTATGTTTTGCTATTTTATATATTTTTTTATTGCCAAGTTTCTCCACAGACACCGTGTCTGTTGTTCCTCAGTCTGCCGTGGAACCACAGACACCGTGTCCTTGGCTCAGAGAGCTCCGCTCTTGTAGAAGCCAGCCACTCGTGGTTCATCAGGCAGCCCAACAGCAGTGAAGTGGCTCTTGACATTCGACAGAACACGAGGGACGTTTCTATGTCGTCAAGTGTTTGTGTGGGCGACGAGTCTGTGGATGGATTTTCAGAGTGTATTCACACCGAGATGACCTCCTTCATGGACTCCTTTCTTCCCGATATTGATTGATATATTTATTATATCATGGCTGCAGCTAATGGACATATATCTTATTGATTCATCTTTTTTTTTGTGTCATTCATTTAGTGTATAAAATCCTAGAAAGCTGTAAAAAAACTAACTAGTCATCACAACTTCTCAAAGCTGTCGGTGACATTTTTAAATGACTTGTGTATATTTTATATTTGCAATGATATAAAGCAGCAAATCTTTTACTTTTTAGGAGCTGGAAACACATTTGTTTTGTTTTGTTGATTAAATTTCTGTCAATCGACAAATCAATTCATTGACTATACGAGTCTGTGCTCGCGCCCTGCTGGTGGTGAAAGGTTACGTTATGTGTAATTCTTAACAGGTTTAGAGAATTTGGGGGATTTCTTTGTGCTTTGATTGAGCGGCACTTAGTCACGACTCTCCTGCTCTCCCCTACCGAGCCGCTCCAGACTGTGAGTGGGAGGAGTTGGACTCTTGACAGCTTAATAGGAAGTATGAACAGCTAGAAAAAGATAAATCAACTGTCTCTGTGCCCTTCACGTGAACCACTACTACTGCAACGTGTTTATTCAGGGCTGCACAGTTATGGCCCAAATGATAAGCTCACGATTACTTTTGATTGATAAGATCACCGATATTTATCACGATTATTCATTGAATTTTTAGGAACAAGCTATTTTTTTTTTATTGCATTTTCACATTTAAACCAACAAAGCACTGCTTTCACTTCCGTGTTCTGCGACATCCGTGCTAACGTACGAATCTTATCAAAATAAAACTTATTCACAGTGCATCTCCTAGAAGCAAAATAATATTGTACCAATAGTCTTAATTCCAGTACCCTTCATGACATTCTTTCTCTGAGAAATAGACATTTTATTCAAAATAAATAAAGACAGTTTTCAGATGAAATAAAACATCTGTAACTGTACAAGAACTTTTACTTAAAGATAAAGACGCCAATGCTTCATACGGGACAAACTGCTTCAGCCACCATAAGTGATCTGTAGCAAGACTGTTTTGAGGTTTGATACCCGGTGCTGAAGTTAACCGATAGCTAACCACAGAAGTACCTCACAGTTCATTTGAATGTTATGCAGATGTCAGTTGTTTTGCGCGTGAGACAAACCTCAAACGCCTTGTTTTTAACAAGTCTTTATGTATTTGTACAACATGTACTTGTGGATACGCAGGGATGCGGTACATGCACAAACATGTCCTTTTATAGAGTATTTATTCCTGGAAAGGATTCACTGGATGTGTTTGGCAGTAATACACACTTCCACATATTCACACTGGAGGGGCAACTCGGTCCAGATTGTTTGTTCCACAAGAAGAGAAATCAGGCGAGTTTCTTGCTGAAAAAGCTTATTATCATAAAAAGGGTTTTATTTCTCAACCAGATCTTCTCAGCTGGTTCACAACTTGAGTTAGTGACCTCGTGTTGCTGTGAACTCCGTGCTACCAACACCTGCTGTTGTTGCTACGGCCAGCGTGGTTTTTACTTTATTTATCTTTTAAACGTTCCCTTCATACTACACCTGCGTTATTTCCATAGTCACATTCTGGAAGAAAGTTTATTTTTTTTAAATACTTAATATTTATTTTCTGTATATTATAATGCAGAACCAGGATCTGTTGGATTGGTGCGTTTTGGAGCTGCAGCAGCTAAAAAGAAGTGACACTTCTAAAAGGAGACCAGCCAATGTTCTCTTTATTCAGCTTAAATGTAACCTGGCACTTTGAACTCTTTTATTAAAGCATCACTGATCATACAAGTGTAGACATTTAACCTCTTCAGTTTGAAGCATCTAGATCTTGTGTTTCATGGAGATAGAACCTGAAACACAGGAGTCCAATCAGAGCTAGTTTTAATTAACTGAGGATGAAGAAGGTTGGTCCCCCCCCTCCACCCCGCTGCTGTGGCAGGCGGGGGGGTCACCCAGACTTGTGCTCTGCCATGTCTTCCCCATCCAGGAGTGGGAGGCGGAGAGCCACGACTGGTACTGCTTCGAGTGTCACCTGCCGGGCGACGTCCTCTCGTGCGACAACTGCTTCCGGGTTTACCACCTCAAGTGTCTGTCGGACGAGTTCAAGCCCAGAGACGCAGGATCCCACTGGCAGTGCGTCGTCTGCAGGGTAGGTGGTCACACGGGAGGCTCGTGTACTCGTTCCTCTTTAAGGATCAATGAGCATGTTCTTTTGGAAAGGAAAGGCTCATATGTAATAATCCTGCAGAGACAAATAAGTCACATTTCTCTTGCAGAAGTCTTGCTGAGTTGGCTGTTTCTCTTCTCTTCTCTCTCCTGAGGAAGAGTTTTGTTTTCAAGACATTTAAGAAATCTGTTTTTTGCCCGAAAAACAAAAAAACAACGTGTTAGTGTTGTCAATGTTTATCATTTAAACCGGTGTCCCTGTAAGAAAAACATTATTCTTGATCATTCGTAGCTCTCGTTGTCTTTATTGTTGTTATTCCTCTCTTCTACCAGGTCCTTTGTGTATCTCTGGTATGTTTGAGGACAGTGCACTGGGCCATTATGAATATACATATTTTAACTGTGTATTGGAGCATTTGGGTTGCAGGTTTCGGATCAGACTTGATCTCGGCTTTACTCCTCTCTGTCCTGCAGGGCAGTAAAAAGAAGAACCTGAACAAGCAGGAGATGAGTAAATACCTGCGCTTCATTGTACAGCGCATGAAGGAGAGGGTGAGAACAACCATATCTTTATTGTGTGTGTGTGTGTGTGTGTGTGTGTGTGTGTGTGTGTGTGTGTGTGTGTG